AAGACAAGAATTAGGATGACGTGTCTCAGAGTGTGACTCTGAGGTCAATATGAGAATTGTTAGGGAAATTCTTTATATTTTATTTTACAAAGTGGAGACAATAGGATTTGCTGGTGGGTTGGATGCAGGGTGTGAGAGAAAGGAGTTCTGTTTTTGGGGTATGTGTGGGTGTCTGTACACACTGGTGTAGATGTCTTTATAAAGCTTAACATTATCCAAAGTTATCTGGTTTCATTGTTAACTCTATTTTTGTTCAAGCCAAAAGCCCTGAAAAGGAGGAGACTTTCTCAATGTTGTTATTGCGTATCCCCAGTGTCTAAACAATCTGTCTCTTTCTTTTCCTCTCTCAAAAGAAAGAAAATATTTAGTCATGGACTATAGAAAAGTCGTGGGGAGTTCTGTTATTTGTATCTTCTATATTTTCTGTGTTGTGCTTGTATTTATTTAGAAATAAACTATAATTACTGTCAATGAATAAATTGCAAAATTATATGAAATTTAAAAGTGCTTATTAAGATTATCATTAAAAAGTCAAAGATTCTACACCATACAGAGAGGAAGATGGTATTTTGAGAGCCAATATCAATGTGGGTAAATGAATCCAAACCTGATAAATGTATAAATCTCAAACTATAAACTAAAACAGCCTGTGCATGCAGGATCAGTGTCCAGGACAGAGTAGACTTTATCAGCATCTTTTTTTCTACAAGGACATACCAGTGCCAACTCTCAGCCAGCCAGGCAGCAAACAGTCTGTGGCTAGCCAACTCCACAAACAACTGAGAAGATTTTTCCTGAGATACTCGCCCTCCTGTAGTCAGTACACCCGGACACATCTGCTTGATTCAAAATTGTGGAATGTTATCACTCACACAAGTAATGACATCCTTTAAATTTGGTCCCTGGGAGACCATTGGCTTCTTGTTAAGAACAAAGTTGGACTTTGTAACTAACCTCACAGTTTCCCAAGTGGGGCCAATAAACCTAGAGCCCTTCAGTGGTTTACAGCTTAATGCTTAATGCATTCTGAAATCCTAAAAAGCTCAGAATACGGCAAGCTTTGGGGGAACATATCTAGAAGCAAACCAGACTGATCTGAACTCACTTGGCGGGTAAATCTAAACTGGGGGGCCCCTGAAGCCATGTGTGGTTTTCGCACATCTTGCCTAACATGAGGTCCGCCTATGTCACTGCAGAAATATTAATGTGCTTGATCGCAGGGTGGTGTATCGTGTTATGTAATGTGCAATATGGACGCTCAATCATTTTTTCCACGTTGCTGTTTTCTGAAACACATCTGGCCTTGAGATGTCCTCATAAGGGACTCTAAACCTGTGGTGTGTGTGCTGTGGGGCTGAAGGTGCTGGCTTCTTGCTTAAGGGATAAAGTTGATGGTTGCTTTCTTGGTCTGGTGAGTGCACCAGGACTCCTGTCTTGGAGCAGGTATGCGCCTGACACATCTGTTTAGCTCACCTATATGGGGACATATGTTGAGTAGTTGCTGCTTTGGGGCATCTACTCAAAGATGTGTCTCTATCTTGTTTCTTTCCAGGAGGGTATGACCCTGGAGAAAGGTGACATGAAGCTGAATGTCTCTGGGCTCCTGTCCTGTTATCTTAGTCTGTTTTGGGCTCTTATGATAGAAGCCCACAGATTGGGTAATTAAACATAAATAAGAAAATTAACTAATTTCCTTCTCACTGTTCTGGAGGATGGGAGTTGCAGAATCAAGGTATTGGCATCTGAAGAAGTGCTTCTCATGCATCATCCCACGGAGGGAGGCATCATGGAGGGAGCAGGGAGCGCCAGCTCAGGTCTCCCTTTCTTTCCTTAGATGGTACCCTCTTGGGTAATTTAGTTCCTTACTATATTCCACAGAGCTAGCCTGCCTCATAATAGGCTCACTACATGCTTTTCATTGTAAACAAAAATGTGAGAGATAACATGCATGGAATATTATTCATCTATGAAGAAGGAAGTTCTGCCATTTTCAGCAAAATGATGGAACTGGAGGACATTATGTTAAGTGAAATAAACCAGACACAGAAAGGCAAGTACCACATGTTCTCTCTCATGTGTTGTTTGAGTCAGCTTTTTCACTGTGACTAAGAGACCCAACCAGAATGACTTCAGAGGAGGAAGAGTTTATTTGGGGGCTCATGGTTTCAGAGGTCTCAATCCACAGACAACAGGCTCTGTTCCTCAGGGCTCAAGGTGAGGCACGACATCATGGTCAAAGAGTGTGACAGAGGGATGTTGCTCACATGGTGATCAGGAGAGAGACTCCACTGGCCAGATATAAATATATACCCCAAAGCCACGTCCCCAACTCCCACTTCCTCTAGCCACACCCTATCACTTCAGTTACCACTCAGTTAATCCTTATCAGGGAATTAATCACTGATTGGGTTAAGACTCTCACAACCCAATCTTCTTCCTCTGAACCTTCTTGCATTGTCTCACATATGAGCTTTTGAGGGACACCTTGCATCCAAACCACAGCATGTGTGAAAGCTAAAAAAAACAAAAAACAAAACAAAACAACAACAAAAAAATAACTAAAGTAGAACAGTGATTACTAGTTGGGAAGGTTAGGGGAAATGCAAATTGGTATATGATAGTTATAGGTATGGAAATATTACACTGAACGCTATTAATATGTACAATGACTACAAGTCAATAAAATAAATAAACAAAAAGAAAGTTATGATGAAAATCCTTCTATATTCTATAACCTTCGTACCGATAAATGGTGGGAAATATTTATCCTATATATTTTCTGCTGTAGACTGTCTCTTCACTCTGTTGAAGATTTGCTTTGCTTTTTAGTTTGATGTCATCTCATTTGTGGATTTTTATCCTTGTTTTCTATGCTTTTGAGGTCCTATCCAAAAAATGACTGCCTGGACCAATATATTAAAGTGTTTCCTTTACATTTTCTTCTAGTAGTTTCAGATCTCTCATTTAGGGTTTTGATCCATTTTGAGTGGATTTTTCTGCAGGGTGAGAAGTAGGATCAAATGTGAGTCCTCTGCATGTGGCCGTCTGGCTTCCCCTGCACCATTTATCAGAAAGGCTGCCCTGTGGCCTGCATTTTTTTGGTGCCTCTGTCTACAATCAGTTGACTGTAGATATGTGGGTTTATTGTGGGGATCTCTATTCTGTTTTGATGGGGATTGCATTGAATCTGTAGGTCATTCCAACAGTATTGACATTTCAACAATACTAGTTCTTTCAATCCATAAACATGGGAACCTGGTATGGGGATATAGCTCAGTTACCAGAGTGCTTGCCTCACATGCACAAATCCCTGGGTTCAATCTCCAGCACAAATAAACAAACAAAAAAATAAAAACATGGAAATCTTTCCATTTGGGGGTCTTCTTCAATTAATTTCATCACTGTTTTGTAAATTGTACTGTAGAGTTCTTTTATTTCCTTGACTAAATTTATTCCTAGGTGGTTTTATTTTTGTAGCTATTGCAAATGGGATTGCTTTTGTGCTTTCTTTCTTAGCAAATTCATTACTGATGTATAGAAAAGCTACTGATTTTTATATGTTGATTTTGTACCCTGTTACTTTACTGAATCTGTTTATCAGTTCTAATAGTCTCTGGTGCAGGTTTTAGGGTTTCCTAACATATTGTCTGCAGACAGGGATCATTTTACTTCCTCCCTTTCTATTTGTATGCCCTTTACGTCTTTCTCTTGCCTAACTGCTGTGGTTAAAATTTCTAGTACTATATTGAATAAGAGCAGAGAGAGCCCACAGGCTTGTCTTGTTCCTGATCTTAGAGGATGTGCTTCCCGCTTTCCCCATTCAATAAGATGTCGACTTTGGGTTTGCCAAAGATGGCCTTTATCATATTGAAATAGGATCATTTGTTCAGAAATTTTAACATAAAGGAATATTGAATTTTATCAAATGCTTTTTTTCCATCTAATTAAGAGGATTCCATGATTTTCATTTTTCATTCTATTGATGCTATTGATTCTATTTCATTCTATTGATGCATTAAGTTCATCGATTTGCATATGTTGAACCATCCTTGCATCCCTGGAGTGCAACCAACTTGATCAGAGCATATGATCTTTCTGACGTGCTGTTGAATTTTATTTTCTAGTGGTTTGTTGAGAAATTTTTCATCTGTGTTCTTAGGAGATATTGGTCTAGAGCTTTGTTTTATTGTGTTCTTGACTAGTTTTAGTTTGGAACGGTTCTCTCCCTTTCGTTCTTAATTTTTCTTTTAAAACACATATTCCTTTTTATAGAGAAGGAATCTGGTCTGTGATCCTAGAATATTGCTAGAGCACTGAATTCCACAGCTCCTGCCTCTTGCTTCTTGGATTTTTCCCTTCCTATGTCCAGCTTTCCAAACCCTTGACACACAACACCGAGGGCAAAACAGTGTCATGAAGTTAAAAAAAATCTGGGAGAGTCCACGAGGTACACAGACTCGCAGTGCTTCAGAGAACAGGGCCGTTAAGTATTAAGACCTCGCAGTGCAGGGCTCCCAGTACCTGTCATGCCTGGAGAGACCCACACATCTCTCACCACAGATCTCATCTGGCTCCTTTTGCTTCTCTATTCAGGCTTCTGCAACCTCTCAGCAGGGCTCTGCTGAAATTGGAAAGCCGCCTACTGTGGTCTCCCCTGTTCCTTTTGTCAGGGACCCTTGCCCTTGGACACAAGGTACAACGTGGACATCATCTGTTGGGCATCTGAACTGCTCAATGCTTCACTTCAGGGATGAGGTGGAAATTAGGAGTTTAAGTGCCAGGGTGTGTTTCTGAGGGTGATTTAAATGTCTATAGAACTTGAAACGGTTCCAGAAAACACCAAGAGACCAGTAGAATCAGAATCTTTTCATTAAAATCCACAAGGGCCACAGGAAGGCTATCATTGGCCAGGCTCCCAGGCCACCCAAAGATGGGAGGGGGGACGCAAACCCCGCCCAAACCCCAGGGGGATGGAATTGGCTCCAAGGACTTCTGATCAACCCCAGCGCAGTGGACAGCGGGTCGGGCACTTCAAAGGTGCTTGCACTGCACCTCCAGGCTCCGCGTCTAGACTGCAGTCGGGTGAAAAGACGGGAGAATCACTAGAAGAGCCCACAGTCCTTAAGCCACAGAGAAGGGGCGCAGCGTCTTGGGGCAGAGAGGAATTCGCTCCGCACGAAACTTTGGCGGTCAGAGTCCTGAGTGGGGCGACCTCCCGGAGAGGGCACAGCAGTCCCCGCACCTCGCTCCTCGCTAGGCGCCACCAGCACCTCTGCAGCGTCAAGGAAGGGTCTCGGGTCAAGGACAAGAATCTGTGGCCATGGCTGAGGCTACCGAGCCAGAGGGTGGCGCTTCGGGTCCCCAGGGGCCGCCCGAGGACCCAGCGCTTCTGGCCGAGCGACCGGGCGAAGCCGGGGCCATAGGACAGGAGGCGGAGGGGCGGGAGGCGAGCGAGGGCGCCGCGGAGGCGCCCGGGGGAGAGGGGGCGGGCGCAGCGGCGACAGCGGCCGACCAGGAGGAAGAAGGCGGCGGGTCGGACCCAGGGTGCACGGGGGAGCTGTCGCCGGGAGCGGGCAGTGGCCCCGGGACCGAGACGCGCGGCCCAGGGGGAGCGCAGACCGAGGCGGAGGAGGGCGAACCGCGGGGCGCAGAAGCTCCCCAGGGAGGGGAGGCGGCGGGCGGCGCCGGGCAGGTGGAGGAGGCGAGCCCGGAGCGCGGCGTGCAGGGCGAGGCTGCAGGGGAGGCTCAGGGGGCATCCGGGGAGTCTGGGGAGTCCGGGGACCCCGGGATCCCAGCGGCGCAGGAGGAGACGGAGCACGGGCTGGAGGCTCCGGGGGTCACCACAGACGCCCAGGGACTTTCGGGGGACAGCATGGACGCCCAGGGGCTGGCGGGAGGGGCGCTAGAGGCAGACGGTGAGCTCCAGGACCAGGACCGGGAGCAACACAGTCCCCAGTCCCAGTCCGAGACCACTGAGGTCGCTGTCGCGGAAACCGGGGGGCCCAGCCCGGAAGAGTTTGCAGGAGCCATGGGGGAGGTGGGGTCCGAAGAAGCGGTGCCTGGGGACGCGAAGGCAGATGCTGGCGAGGATGGGGACTCGGGTGGGGGCCAGAAGGAGATGGAGGCGGAAGACGAGAGGCGAGAGCCGACCCCGAGCGAGGACGCCTCGGCAGTTGGGGGAGAGGAGGAGCCCCCGGACGGCACCCAGGATCGGGAGGTGGCGGAGGAGACGGGGCCCGAGGGGCCCGAGGCCAAGCTCAGCAACCACCTGGAGGAGGAGGGCAGCGCGCAGGGCAGCGACGAGTCGGCGCGCCTGAACGGCCGCCCCGAGAACGACGAGGCGTCGGAGGAGGGGGACCCGGGGCAGGAGCACGACATCACCCTCTTCGTCAAGGTAAATTTCGCTTCCCCCAATTTTTAGGACGTCTTCTCTCGTCTTGGTCCCTTCAGATCCAAGACAGACTCGTGGGGAGGTTCCTTCCTCCCCCATGTCCTAACTGTCACCAGGCGCTTCCACCTCCCCAACTAGGTTTTCAAGAAGAGTTGCAGGAGCATTTGGGGGAGGGCTAGGGCTAGGGCGGTGGGTAGTGCGGATGTGGGGTCAGCATTCCACTATTTTTGTCCTGAAATCCTAACTGGACCCCCTGGTCTGGGAGGTTACTAAAAGAATTAACTAGGGGGGGGGGGCGGGACGGACCAAAAGGGACACGCCCTATTGGTGTTCCAAGGATTTTTGCCAAAGCAAACTCTGATCCCTGAAGTGAAACTATGCAAACTGGTAGGTTCAGTGTGAGAAGTAGCCCCAGGACTGAAATCCCAAGGCCCAGAGCTGGTGAACAGTTTTAAGTTACAAAAAGCAATTCCGTTTTAAGAACCCGAATGCGTTTGGGAGGAAACGGGAAACTTATTTACCTATTATCGTTTTCATTGAACATCTTACCATTTACTTTGAAAGAATGCAAGAGGCTGGTGACTTGACAATCGTGTGTGTGTGTGTGTGTGTGTGTGAGTGTGAGTGATATTCTATCTCACTTCAGTTGGGAAGAGAGCAGTGATTTAATTTGTGAAGGAGTCTGTAGAGAAAAGATGGAGGAGACAAGAGGAAGGATGTTTTGGGTTTAATAGGTGTTTTTACAAGGTTCCAAAAATACATGGGCAAAGTCCAGTAGCTGCTCACACCAGAAGCTTTGTTAAAAAAAAAAAAAAAAAAAAAGCCATTCTGAAGAACTTTGGCCAGACCCCTGGGAAGCTGGAGATAATAAGATCAAGAATGTGCATTACACGTTGAATTCTAATCCTTTAGAAATACTTTCAGGCTTATAGAAGCCTGTTGTGGCCTAAACTTCCTGGGCTGAAATGTTAATAAGTAAAGGGGTGGTGGTGGTGGGGGCTCCCAAAATGATTCATATCAGAATTTCAAGAAGTGTTTAAGTGGCAAAGAACTTGGGGAGAAGCAGGCTTGTGTTAATTCTATGGAGAAGGAGCTGTTCCCGTCAGCATTTTTTTTTTAAGATACTGGAATAAAACATCTAATTATGTATTGGGGCATAACCTGAGGGCACAAGCCCTAGGAAGGTTGTGGGAAGACTGGGTGTGTGCTGCCGGTTGGTTCAGACCTACTTGGTTTAAGGAACTTTCCATTGCTCTGGTGGCATGGCTGCAGGATTCCAGCAAATGGTCTCGTGTTACAGCTTCTTACCTTTCTCCGTTTCTGTGCAAGTCTCTTCAATCTAGTCCCTTCTAAATCACCAGTGAGCCAGGAAAAACCCAATCATTTTGCTTCTTAGTGTACAATTATTTAGTTGTTTATTGCAGAATTTCAGGTGAACCCATATATATTCTGGAGCCAGGCACAAGCCCTTCATGATGTTAACCCTGCCCCCTTTCTCTCTGGCCTTTCCTGGGTATTGCTGGGGAGTCCCCATCATCATGTCACTCATGGCACTGTGGTGTCATTCTTGGTAAAGTACTTTTTATTCCTTAAGAGAACCACATTCCTTCCCACCTTGAAATGTCGCACACACTGTGCCCTCTGCCTGAAAGGCATCACTACCACTTACCCCTGTCCCTGTCTGCGTCCTAATGGTTGGCTGCATGTCCAGGAGTCAGCGTGGACTTCACCCCTTCTGGGGAGGCTTTTAGAGGGGAGGCTTTTACACCGCAGACTGGGTTGGATGTCCCTCTGTTGACGTTTCACGCACACATGGCACTGTCCTTGTCTCTTTTCTGGACTGTGTGAAATGCATCATTATGTCCAGGACAGAATGCAGGTGTGGGCAAGAGGAAAGTCTGAATGGGTGACAGTCTGTATGAGTATAGTATTGTAGTAAAAAACGTGCACTCCAGAGCCTGTGGGGCTGGAATCAAATCCTAGCTCTGCAACTTTCTTACCATGTGACCCTGGGCAAGGAAGGTATTCAGCCCTTCCGTGCCTTTGAGCAAAAACGGGGACAATGATAGGAGCTACCTCCTGTGGTTATTGTGGAGATTCAAGTATAGATTCCATGAAGCCCTTTGAGCTCTGCTTGTCTTGAAATACGCATGGTGTAGGTTTGGGTGTTTATTGCTATGTCTGCTCAGCGCCTATATGCTTCCGTTGATTCTGTAGGGAGACTGTCTCCATTTCTTTTTGAAGAGAAATTCCTCTAGGTGTCTAATTATGTCCATTCTCTGGGGGTAAGAGTGTTGTAAAAAGTGAAAAAAGTTCCTTTTCTCATTGCTGCTCAGGAGTGACTGTAGGCTAAGGCCAGGGCAGCTCAACCTCCATGCAGTACTTGGCCTGGTGTTCTAGTGTCCTTTTTATTTATTATTTTGCTTCAGGGAAGCAAACAGTGAGGCCAGCTAACTTCTGAGGTTCTCTTAAGATGTGCCTCATTTCAGTAAGCCATCTCAGTTTCTTCCCATCCATTCATCATCTCAGTAAAAATAAAGGGGGACACAGAGGGACAAATGAGACCCCAAAAGCAATGAACAAGCAAAAGATCTTTGGGCTGCCGTATCCTCTGCGTTTGTTTTAGTTGATTTAAAATACTTAACCTGGCTCAGATACAGATTTCTTTGCCAGATTTAGCCTTTTCTGGGTTCCTTCTTGGGCTCTGTTTGAGGTAGAGTCTGCATTTCACAGTGGACACGTCACCTGGGTTTCGTTAAGTACTCATGGTGGGTAGGGTTCCCCCACTTTGGACCTAAGGATATTTATTTATTTATTTCGACCTTTTAAAAAATTTTAACAATAAGGTTTTAAAAATGTGTATTATCATCATACACAGCATGGGATTTGTTGTAATAGCAGGTTTTCTGCGGTGCAGCTGGAACATAGAATTCACAGAACTGTTCTGTAGGAAGAGACCTGCAGTATTCTTCCAGACATCCCTCCAGCCTTCATATGAGGGCCTAGGAAACACATTTTAAAATTAATTAAGCCACATTCTATTTGTGAACTCTAACTTTTACTTTTCTTCCTATTCTTAAAAACAAACATATTGGTTACAAAAAGATACCAGAAAGAGACCTAGTAACGTGTAATAGTAATTATTTTTTTTTAATATTTATTTTTTTAGTTGTAGTTGGACACAATACTTTTATTTATTTTTATGTGGTGCTGAGGATCAAACCCAGGGCCTTACACGCACTAGGCGAGCGCTCTACCTCTGAGCCACAACCCCAGCCCCATATAGTAATTCTAATTGCTTCCAGTTGCCTTCTGATTTTAGCTACCTAATAGATCATATTCCCCAGCTTGATGAAAGTCATCCTGTTGTTAAGCTGCCTTCTGTTTTCTTCTGTAAGGATACAAGGCTGTATTCTTGTAAAAGAGCCAGAACCCACAGAACAGGCCCAGCAAGTCCTCTTGAATGATCCTGTGGCAAATCAATCCTGGATCATGCTAATTTTTAGTTTTTTTTTTTCTCCCCTAAAGAAGTGTTAACTGTATCATCCCATTCCAAGGTAACCAACCCCCCAGTCATATTTTGTGAGAGAAGTTTTTTCCTTCTTTACTCACAACAACAAAGGGTAACAACATAGTGGCGACACAACACACCAACAGCAAACAAAACACAAGAGCTGAAGTGGTTGGTGACGTCTGATTCAGCAGGGGGCACTTTGAGGCAGGGGCTAGGAGTGGGTGCTCAGAAATATGGGTTTCCTGGCAAATTTTACATGACTTTAAAACGCTCTATGTGACCCCGGGAGTGATCCCGGGCCGCAGCCTAGGAATTTCTTAAACTGTGCTGTGGACAGCCTGTGTTTAACTAGAACAAGTCCCTGAGCTCATGCGCTTGCGTCATTGGGATTCTTCAAAGAGGTGAAACAGACCTGATGGAACAAAATGAAACTCAGGACAGACATGGCCTTCGAGTAAGCATCGACACCCAGAAATGCCAAAAAGAGAAAAGAGGACCTGCCACATTGTCACACCATGGGTCCACAGGCACCCGAGGGACCAGCCGGCTGTGGCTTGCTGCACACATGTCCCTGGGAGAGAGCCAGTGCTGCTTTCCTAACTGTGTGGGTGCAGGGTGTTCTAGAGGAAACGAGTGAGGGTGGGCTTCTGTGCCTTTAATTCTCCCTTCAAACCACTGTTTTGTGGGTTTTTCCTGATTATCATAGAAAACCCATTTGTAAATTACATATATGAAATCAGTACAGTTACTCATGCTGAAAATAGGTAGGACAGGACGTTTTGCTGACTTCATGCATGAAGGCACGGTGTGGGCCCATGCGGGCCCGGGGGCCACACTGAGAGCCCCGTCCTGATTGCCTCTGGCCTCACCACCTGGCGAGCAGTGGGCTCTCGGTTGGTGCTTTTTGGTTGGTGCTTCCTGATGACGACAGGTAGGTGGTTGGGTTCAAGGTGAGAGCTACTGAGAAGCAAAACCTGGACATGGCACGGGTCAGTTCCCCACCAGCCCAGTCCAGTGCCCCTAGTGAGAGGCACAAGGCGGCTTCCTCCCTGAAGATGTCAGCATCAGGGCTTCAGAGCTGGGGGCTCTGGGGAGCTGTGGCTCGGTCCTGCCTGGTGCACAGGCTGCTGCTCCCATCCCTGTGTGGGCTGACGGCTGCGTGCTTCACGGTAGCAATTGTGTTCCTTGCCTTCAGCATAGCCCTCCCTTGGTGACCTTCATGTCCTTGGTCTCACATGGCCAGCCTTTCTCCCTGAGATGCACTCAGCTATCCTATCTCCTCGGGCATCCGAAGTTGGCGGGGTATCCTCAGAAATACTACACTGGGCCCTCTAAGTGTGTAAATTTACCCTTTCATTTCGCGTGCCTAGGTAAAACCAAGGATTTGAAGGAATGTGTATCAGGAATCAGCCCACCCTCTCTCCCATTCTTAGAGAAGCACAGAACCTGAAGCATTGTGCCAGTCTCATTCCACACCCATGAAGGACTG